CTGGTGAACCACGAACAAAAGTTTTCTTAAAACGCAGGGTCAAGCCCCAACCCTTTTAAAACACCCAAAATGTAGGAACCCCATACTAGATCACTGAAAAAAAAACACAATGTACTACAAGGGCAACAGAAAGGTAGATTTTGACAAGGCAGAAAGCAGCCATGCTAGATTAAAAAGACCCAAACAAGTCTACGTAAAATTCCATTCGACGCAAAATTCCACATGCTGTAAGGATTACTTTCGCCGTAATCGCCTTCAGATTGCACATAATCCTAACCAATTTTTTAACTTTCTCACTAAACCTAAGACATCTAGTTTGCCAACTTCGTTTAAGTTTGCGAATGGGAGCTCGAATACTGATCCAGCCATTGCCGATCTGTTTGCAAACTTTTTTCAAACAACCTAATCCTCCTCTAGGTGTAGTAAAAATCAGCCTTATCCTTATCAGCTACAGAGGTAAAACTGCATCTTAAACCCTATTATTATTGAATGTTCGCTTCTCAGTGACCTTAACATAATCAAACCGGTATACTCACCGGGCCCTGATGATGTTCCCGCCTGTGTGGTTAAGTACTGTGAAGCTGCACCTGTCTTAAAATTTTTTGAATTGTCTGTAAACACTGCATCTTTTCTTGAGTTTTCTACGCTAATGGTTAATGGTTTAAGAAAAGAATGCAGACTGAAGTCATCTATAGAGATTTCAGTAAGGCTTTCGATTTCGTAAATCACTCCTTACTGCTTCATAAATTATGCCTTCTTGGCTTCCCATTCAATGTTTTTAACTGGATCTCAAAGTATTTGCGGAAAAGGTTCTTTCAAGAACCCGCTACGCTTCACTCTTTTGATCAATTACCTTCCCTCTAAACTGTCTAACTTAATTAATTATTATGCATCGCATATAAAGATATGGCATCATGTTATCTTTTACAAGCTATCATTAATGCTTTTCAGTTTTGGTGTCAAGTCAAGCTGTCAAATTTAAACTATTCTATATGTAAGGTAATAACTTTCTGTAAGCCCTCTTCAATTGGTTTCATTAGTCATTCTTGATCATAAACTCGAATTCGACTCTCGTGTTACGAACTAAATAAGGCCAGAATAGTTTTGGATTTCCTCAAACGATGGTTAAAGATATTTGAAAATCCGTACACGACAAAGACCCTTTAAATATATTTGGTGCTACCTATACTTGAGTATGCATCTGTTCACCATAATATTCTACTCATCAAGATAGAATGGAGTCTGTACAAAAACAATTCTTGTTGTATGCCCTTCGGGGCTTAATTGGGATTCCCAAGTGCTGTTACCGTCATACTCCGTAGAACCATGCATAGTGTAATATGTATTCATAAACTAATAACGGGTGCACCCTCATCGCTTCAATTTTTCAATTATCTATGTCTTGCATGAACCGTTCAGGGTTCTCTGCGATTATCTTAACAATCATTATAGAGTATTGTTATCCTCGATAAAATCATATCTTCTAAACTACTTAGAGAGTATATAGTCTTAGTATATATTCGTAGTTTGTAATCGCTGTGTACTTCGCAAGTTGTGTCGTACGTTACAAGACTGCGCCCCTCGGTAGATTGGGTGGGAGGTTGGCAGTACATTGCATCGGGATTCGTGCAAAAAGTCTTGTTGGCCACCTAAATTAATTAACAAGTAAGAGGTTCTAGTCGGGAGCTCCTGACTAGGGGATACCCTGAACCCTCTTATTCCAACATCAAATGTGTATATATATTCTATTTTACAAGCTATATGTCAAGTTTGGTGACTCTAGCTCTTATTATTTACCAAAATTGCCCAAAAAACAGGATATCGATATCGATTTTTATCGATTGCTTGGAAACGGAGTAAGTTATCGAATATCGGAAACTAACTCGATCTGCGCGGGAACTAGGAGCACCTTCATCTAATTTATTTTAAGTCTCTAGCTCTTATAGGTTCTGAGATCCTTGCGTTCATACATACGGACGGACGAACGGACGGACAGACAGACGGACATGGCTAGATCGACTCGGCTATTTATGCTGATCAAGAATATATATACTTTATGGGGTCGGAGATGCTTCCTTCTGCCTGTTACATACATTTGGCTTTCGCACAAATACAATATACTCTTATACCCATTTTTAGTGGGTTCTTTCAAAAATCGAATCATTAGGACACATTAAATTGTAAATAATTCAATATATACATTATGAAAAGGAACAGTTGAGGTCAAGGTCAAGGTTAAAACAATGAAGCCCCAAAAAGAGTCCGTAGCCCACGAATGGATTGGAGGGAAAGGGAGGTAAGGGAAAGAAAAACTAACTACTTAGGGAAACACAGACAACTAGCGTCAAATTGAAATATTGAATAACATGAAGCTGCTATCATATGGAACATGAAATTAAAGGTCCAAACATATTTTGAACATTGTAATCAGCATAGAGGGAACGTGCTACTTATGTATTTATAATTAACCTAATAGCAACGACGCAGAACACTGAACAGTTATTATAAAGAAGAAAAAAATCACGTACGAACTGATCCTAAAACAAAATAACTTACATTACTAATTATGTAATCTAATCTAATAATGTACTTTTTTTTTACCGCATTACCAGAGCATCGGGGTTGAATAAAAAATGGTTAGATAGTTTATGCCACTATTTAAATACCCAAGGCATTCTAGTACTAGTTAATGGATTTCGCACCGGAATGTGGGTTTTAAAAAAGGGGCACTTTTCTAGAATAATTTTTTTTTTCGCAATAGTCCTACTGTATCTTAAATAAAGTAACGTCATTTAACGCATAACACGAGCCGCGAAGTAAAGAATTAACACAAATTATGACGATAAGATGGGATTATTTATTTGGTTAATAGATAATAAAACTTGTTGAAATAATCACTGATAACCCGGTTCACTAAGGGCATGTAAGTTGGACAACATTTAAAGTTGAAGGTGTATAATTACTCAAATTCCTCAATTACTTCTTCAAATCTACCCTGGTACACACCTAGACTATCAACCTAAAAAATATTAATAAGTCTGGTACAAGTATTGACTTGGATTAATATTCCATAGCCAAGTTGAACTTTTTTTCTGAATTCTCAGTGCTATGAGAATTATATTTACTGTTACAAAGGGCAATTTGCCCAAAATTCGAGCCAGTTTTGTAAACTTGAATCGCTAATCTTCAACATTGACATCTTCCTTTTCTTTCGGGATAGATGATGCTGCTAACTTCTTTGCTTTCAATCAACTTACCCTGTCTGTTTTGATAATAATTTTATACGTGATCCTATTATTTCCAATTCCTCTCTGCTTTCTGCTATACATTCTTTAAAATCTTCTGAGTCTCCTGGGCCTGACAATACTCCATGTCTACTCAAGGAGTCTAGTGCTTTCTTTCTTCGACCATTGCTTAAGCTGTTTAATCTTTCCCTTGAATCTTCTGTCTTTCCATCTCTTTGGAACCAATCTTATATCATTCCTATCCTCAAAAAAGGTGGAATGTCTGACATATAAAATTACATTACATTGCAAAAGTAGCGGACAGTTAAATTAATTAAAAAAGTAATCACTTCGAATTTGCAGAATTTCTCCAAATCACCATGGATTCGTAATAAATCGGTCAACTACGACCAAAATGTTTAAGCTACTACCTTGGTAAATTATGCTTTTCTTTATAAAATGTAGACCAATGTCAATTACACTGACTTTAGTGAGGCGTTTTACACCGTACACCACGAACTTTAATTTCTTAAACTTAACTGTTTAGGTTTCCCTCCGTCTCTTCTGCATTAGATTTCTTCGTATTTCAAAGGTTATCTGAAGAGTCATAATCTCGTGTCCGACGTATAGCAATAGCCAAGAACGTATTTAATCAGTTCAAAAGAAATTTCTGCTTTTTGCCTTACGAGGATTAAATTGAGACTTCAATCTTCGGTTGCCATAATACCGAAGCGGGCTTCTTCTTTTTGATCTTCCGTTGTCCGCAAGACAATCCTCGGTGTTGCCTTTCTACATAAGTTCATTGTTGGCAAAATAGATTCTTCTTTTCTGTTAAGACGTTTTCAATTCTGTGCTCCGTCCAGGCTTACCAGGAATTATTCCTTATTCTTAACTGCACAACAGATTACGCTATGCACAACTCTATTCATACAAAGATTACAATAGCCGGAAGGGCAACTATGTCCATCGTATCGGTGAACACTTTTCTACAACACCAAATGCAGCTCGGGAAAAAGTTCCCTTAGTAGGGTTTGAACTCGCAACAGACCACTTGCCACTTACCGCCAAGACGCGTATAAATGTGTGTGTGTACATGTATACAGAAATGCTTGCAATTTGCGCTTGCTGCCCCTAACAAGTGACCAGCCAAAACACGGTTTCTTTAAGAACTTATGAGTTTTTAGACCAAAATTGATAAAATTTTCAATATTAGATCTTATTGTGCTGTAGAATATTTGTATATTCTCAAAAAGTCAATTGCATGAATATTGTGGCTTACATGGCAATACAATTTTTTTTATTTATTTGATTCATAACTATGTTTGAAAAATAGCTATAAAATGAAAGATAATTGAAGAAGAAGCTACATGTCTAATTTGGCGACTCTAGCTCTTATAACTTACAAGATTTTCTCAAAATGCAATGAATTACTTGCAAACGGGGCAAGTTATCGATTATCGGAAACAAGCTTGTACTGCGCGGGCACTAGGAGGACCTACGCTCCAAATTTTAAGTCTCTTAGTCTGAAATCCTCCCGTTCATACATAAGGACACGCGGTCGGACAGACTGACGGACATGGCTAGATCGACTTGGCTATTGATGCTGATCAAAAATATATATATACTTTATTTGGTCGGAAAGGCATAAAACCATTTTACCCCTTTAACCCTTTTTAAATGGGTTCAGGGTATAATTAATTATAATAAACTCTTAATTCGCTTAGTGTTAATAAGCTTCAGTTGCTTATGTGCCGTAGTATACATTTTTTGACTTACCTGACAAGAAGCACATGTCATCGTTTTTTGTTGGGAATAATTGACCTAGTGCGATTCCAAGGTATGCGAATAGAAGACTGCTTACCAAGCAAATCAAAATTTTTCCCGGAAGGTTTCGCAGTTTTTCGATTGACGTATAGACCAAAAGGGTTATTGCATAAAAACAGCAGGATATCAAAAGTCCAACTGGATACATTTTAAATCGTATGCGATCATTGTTTAGTACTTTAGAATCAAAACACAGAAATGTGTACAACTGTTCTGAAAAAAAAATTTTTTTATTAACGCTTTATAAGCACAATATATTGCTCTAGTTATAATCGTTAAACTAGATATTAGATACCTGAACCTAATCGGTATCAAAATTTGTTTATCCCAAAATACTGATACACACTTTGTTTGCGCAGATCAGCGCATTGAGTTACAAAAATAATTTGAAAACATAAAGTCTATGTTAAATTAGGCTTAGGACGGAGTGGGAGCGCAATAAAGCTTTATCACTCGCTCTGGGAGCGAATTCGCTTCGCTTCGCCGCTTTAGCGTAATGTAGGCTTAAGTCAGTTGTCAAATTAAATCAAAGCGATACGCACTGAAACGCATAATTGCGTTTTTTCCTAATTATATAAAATAATATAATTTTTCACGTGTGGACACTTTAAAAAGACAATTGTACATATATAAACAAACTCAAGTTTGCACTTGCAAAGCTGTGGCGGCGAGTGAATTCAAACTAAAAAATAATTCGCTTCTTCCGGTAATATTTATAATAATAATGAATCTATCCTGCTGCATCGTTGGAGAACGCCAAGGAAAGAAGCTTCAAAAGTGGAACGTTCAGTACAGCAGGTACTGTGCTAAAAATTGAAAGCCCAACTCTATCGGTTTGGTTGCGCTGATAAGGCCAACGCTTTCAATTCTTGCCACATATGAGAAGTAGTTGAGCATAATTAAAATTTGCATGCACTTACTCACCTCTATGGATATTCATACAAATAATTTAGTATTTGTGCGACTTAGTGGTTATGAGCGAAAGATAATTAGTGTCAAAAATTAATTGTCACTACAATTTAATTTCATTTAGTCTTTGTCGTTTCCCCCTTCTTGCCATCACTGGCAACCACAGTAAATTATACAGTTGTCCGAGACCAAGCGCTTGTATATAAGTGCAGTGCACGCATACATATACACGTACATAACAAGCCAGCTGCAGCCCGTTTATTTTCGTTCCGCCTTGTGCTAAGCGGTGGCTGTGCAATTGTTTTTGTACTCATTTTTCGTTGGCCAAGAGACGCTCGCTTTGGTCAAGAGACGCTCGCTCCCCTACGCTTTATTTATTAAGCATATCTGCTTCTTGAATTCGTTTGGCAAATTCGATTTTAATTTGAATTAACAATTATTAAATTGAATTTAGAGAATCAAATATGGATTCTACAGAAAGTTTTGACGATTCAAAAAAGAAACGCAATATGTCCGTTAAAAGCATTATGCGTTTAAATGATCAAATAATAAAGGGTAAATTAAACCTAGAGTTTACAGAGTTAGAATGTAGATTAGAAAGGCTGGCCTCACATATATACATATATACAGCGATAACATATCAGACTCGTGTAGAAACTTTTGACCCAGATGATGAGTATCGTGACAAGTTCTAAAGATTTTTAAAGCGATTCTCATTCACCTAGTTATGAAGCATTCCACTATTGAGTGATTGTGAAACAGCCTTGAATCGTAGATATCAACAACTTTCTTCCGATGGCCCGAAGCCCGAAGTCAGAGATTGTTTCCAAAAAAGATCAAGTGACCCCAAAATGTTTATATTGCTTATTATATTATTATATTGCAGTTCCGAAGGCCATTTGATATTGAATTGCTCAGCATATGCCGCGTAATCAGTACAGCAGCGGGTTGAGTTCGCTAAGGCGGCTCCCTTATGCATCAATTGCCTTCGGAAGGGGCACACTGTTGCCAAATGTAAGGCAATCAGCTGCAGAGTATGCAGTCGTTCTCATAAGACACTGTTGCATGGACACTCTGCCGTTTCTAACACTCGAGCGTTACCACCGCCCCTTGACTCAGCACAGGATCAACCATCGACTTCACATGTTATGCATGCGAATGTGTCTGATAGTGTAATCCTATCAACCGCAGTCGTTAGCGTTAAAACGAGAAGTGGTGAGTTCGTTTTGGCTAGAGCTTTTCTCGATTCGGGAGCCCAAATTAATTTTGTAACAGACGAGCTAGCACAACGAATGCAGCTGCGTAGAGAAGAGGCCAGTATTAGCTTACTTGGGATTGCTCAATGCAATACTCAAGAAAGAAAGAACATTCATACACTGGTCGCGAGTCGATTGCAGTGAGTGCTCGTTAGATTTGTGAATTTTGAAGACCATTTCGGGTTATCAGCCTGACTATACGGTCAATGTCAGCGGTTGGAAAACCCTGAGAACCTGCAATTGGCTGATCCATATTTTCATAAGACACAGAAGTTCGACATACTCATCGGAGCTGAGACGTTCTTTGATTTTCTGTCTGTCGGTCAAATTAAACGAGGGCAGAATTGTCCGATTCTGCAAAAGACACTTGTTGGCTGGATTGTATTAGGGCATTACACGCCGTCAAGTCATGAGAAGACTCATGCTGTTAATTTGAATTGCCAAGAAGAGTCTTATACCTCGATAGGCAAAACATTGCAGAAATTTTGGTCGTTGGAAGAGTTACCTTCAGCCATAACGGTCCGAACAGTTGAACAGTAGGTTTGTGAGCGCCACTTTCAAGATAATTTGGAAACATTGCCGTCAGGTCGATTTAAAGTAAGATTGTCATTTAAATCAGATTGGTAACTCCTTCGAGGCTGCTAAGCGTAGTTTTATGTCGCTTGAAAGACGCTTGTTCCGAGATCCCTTAAGCTCATGTACTTGGAATTCATGGAGGAATATTGAACTTTAGGCCACATGTCTGAAAGAGATGATCAGATTCCAAGTACTGCACACTACATCACTCCGCATCAGTGTATTTTGCCCATTGATAATCAAAGCAAATATCCTACTCCAAGATCTATGACTTCAGAAGTTAGTTGGGATGAATCTGTCCCTCAGAGTTCGGATAACTCGTGGCAGCAACTGAAATCTGATTCAGTTGCAACGAATAAAGATGCCACGTGTTTACGGAGCCAAATTCACCGATCGAGATTAATGGCTTCGCCGACGCCTCAATAAGGTTGTCGTATTTCGTTGTTGACATTCAAATCTGAAGTAGCGAAGACTCATTCCAGACTTGAGTTGTGCGTTGAATAGTTGAAGTCACCCAACGAGCTGAATTTAAAGATGATAGATAGAGTTCGAAATTGCACAAGCATGGGTCATAGCCTGCAGCGTCTCAATCCATTCATACATGAGTATAATAGATCTTGGTGCTTATTTTTGTTGTTACGAGTAGGGGGACGACTTGTAAATGTTCCTATTTCATATAATGCCAAGCTTCCGCTACCTAAAAAAAAGCTCACAATTCGCTAGAAGCGTAATTAAATACCTGCATTTGACGAATTTTCATGCTGGCCCAAGAGCACTTGTGAGTCTTCTTCCTACGGACGGTAGGCAGCCTGCTGCTAGCGGTCGAGGAGCTACAGACGACTCTTGTCGCAGTGGAAGCCGTTCTCAATTCCAGGCCCCTTGGAGCAATAAGCGAGGACCCAGGCGATGGCGAGGCTGTAACGCCAGGCCACCTACTGGTGGGAGGCCCATTGAGGGCTGTGCCAGCAGAGTGGACCCCGGACAAGCAGGGTCTCCCATGCTTGAATCGATGGCGAGCTGTCTCGTTGCTCAAGCAACAGATTTGGCGGCGATGGTCAAGGGAATATGTACTCGGACTCCAAGTGCGGAGCAAATGGCACCATCGCCTGCACAACGCGAAGTCTAGTATAAGCTAGGTTTAAGAGCGAGTGCGCAATAAAGCTATAAGACTCGCTCTGGGAACGAATTCGCTGCCTTAGCGTAATGTAGGCTTAAGTCAGTTGTCGAATTAAATCAAAGCGATACGCACTGAAACGCATAATTTCTCTTTTAAAGCCACCAAATTTAGTTTTTTGTTAATTCTATAAAATAATATAATTTTTCACACTAAAAAAAGAAAAACAAATAACAGTAGATCTAGCAAATGTAGCCCGTAGAAGCTGTAGCAAATCAAATTTTCAAATTTGGACAACGTCAACAATCGAAAAGCTTAAAGTGTGACTGGCCCTTGGTTATTTCTATGATAATCGTCACAGTTTTGAGACGTTCAATGACTAATATCACTTTGACTTGAAATGATTAAAAGACTACGAATCATTTACGAATTGCTCATATCTGTCCATCTGTATACTTTAGGGTTTAGTAATTTATTTACCATTGAATGTGTTTATAATCAAATTATTCTACAATACTAATACCATCTCTATCTTAGTAGAGCTTACTTTAAGATAATTCTTTAAGTCGGGATATAGATCTAACTCTGGCCCGGGTACACTTTTAATAAAATTTTAATTTACCAAAACACAAAACTAGAAACTACAGCGTTGGTACCGTTTTTATCTACAAACGCGGTCGGCGTTGCTCCTCGGCAAGTGACATTTATCAGTAGATTTCGGTGGTTTTACTGGAAAAATCTACGGATTTGGGTCTGCTTTAGCGGTTAGAAATCATTCCTCAGGCAATGATCATTAGGGTAACAAGTACAAGAAAGCATCTCATTTTTCTTGGTCAGGACGGCAATCTAAGAATGTATATATTTCTGGCTATGTAAATTATGATTTTATTATTTATTCCGTGTGCCATCTGGATCGGTCCCTTTCTTCTTAAAAACTGATTTGACAATATTTACGTTGAAAAATTTGAATCCGCGGAACCTCGGTAGTGGCATTTCCATTTCGTATGACCGCTTACAGACTTACAGACCCAGTGGCATACATTGTCATCCACCATATTCAGGGTTCAGAAGTTCAGGTCAAGTACTATACCATTTAAGGGCAGGTTGAAGTTCGTAGCCTTCGGCACTTCGTCGTATTTACCAGCATTTCGATTCCATCATTTTATCAAGTTTATTTTGGTGTGTACTGTGTTAGTCCCGTCACTTTTGACGATTGTAATTTAGATCCTCACCATTTCGTTTAGTCTTGTCTGTATTTTGGTGTCATGTTCGTATGGTGTCCCATGTAGCCGTTGTCCTAAAAGTTTTTGTTTGGTTCTTTCACAAGTCACTCCTTGAGTTCTACCTCGACTT